ACATGCATATGCATGCACACACACACACACAATCTAAAAGAAGTCAGGTTATTGCTACAAGTTGCAGAATCTCTTGAGTGCATGGACTGTCTAGTTTTCATGTATCTCACTCTTTTCCTGACGGAGTGCTTCAGATGGGGGAGGAAACTGTCTTTATTCCCTGATCTGAGTGTCCGAGAGAAACAAATCTCCTTTGTTTCCTGGGCTGCAGTGGCACAGCCTTAACAGGGTTTAGCAATTTCCTTTCCTTTATAAAACATGCTCAGTAAACCATGCCAGTTAATTATAGCTTGGTAAACAATGATGTTAATAATTACGACCTCTACAATGTCTTTTTTATCTTTTTTTTTTGGAGAGATTTTCACTGTAGGGCGCGTGCGCTTGCCAGACAGACAGAGAGAGACACAGAGACAGAAAGTGAGAAATCACCCCCCAGGGGGGATGGTCACGCAGCAATCCCTTCTCCTCCATTCTCCTCTCGGGATCTTGGGCACGCACGCACACGCGCCCGGTGTGAGTTCAAGCCACCAGGTCTGGGACTCAAACCGTGGTTGACTACATGGGAGTCCAGTGACATAGCCATTACTCCAACTGCTGGTCCCTCAATTTCTCTTATATAGAAAAAAACCCCTCAAAGATCTGTATACTACTAAGTGGAAAACAGGACCATCTAAATGATTTAAAGAACTAACTGGAAGAGTGACTACACAGCAGTAATTAGAGTAAATAATATTAATAGATTGTTTTAAGGCACACAAGACTTAAGATTTCCTGATCAGTAATATGACATGCACTGAATTTAAGATTTTATTATAAATGACCAGCTTCTTTTTTTAAAGAATTATGTATTTATTTAATTCCATTTGCTGTTATTATTATTATTATTATTTTTAGAGAGATTTTTGCTATAGAGTGTGTGTGCTCACCAGAGACAGACAGGAAGGAAGAAATTACCCCTCTGGGGGGATGGCCATGCTGCAATCCCTTCTTTTCTCCGTTCATCCCTTAGGATTTGGGGCACACATGTACCTGCGCATGGGTTTCAAGCCTCCAGGACTCGAACCGTGACTGGTCATGCGGGAGTCCAGCGATGTAACCGTTACACCATCCACTAGTCCCTGTTACTACTGCCTTTTAATTTGACCGGGGAGAGAGAGGAAGAGAGAAAGGGAATGCATGACAGCAAGCTGCCAGGTCTGGGATTTGAGCTGTGGCCAGCCACGTGGGAGTCCAGCGCCCCACCCATCATGCCACTTGCCGGCCCAGAAAGATCCGTTTCTGACAAATGAAAACGTATCACTGTTTCTTAATTGTGTACATATTAAATTTCTTTGAAACAGAAAAAAATTCCACAAGTAAGAAAAAGATAATAAAGTCACCTAAAGGAAAGTTTTGGGACCGTGAAATGATTCTATGTAAGTCTTAAAAAGCAGGTATTGTTTAATCAACATGAATGACACCGGAAGGCTGTAATCATACACCCTAAGTGCTTACTTCGCCCACTCCCACCCCGTTGGGGAGCTAGCTGCAACTACGTGCATTATCTATGCAGCATGGGGTATTTTAATTTAATCAGAGAGGGACAGAGTGAAAAAGAGAGGGAAAGTGAGAAAGCAAGCGTAAGAAACATAAGTAGGGAGAAACCTGGGCAGTCAGAAGCCTGACCGAATGTACGAAGGGATCCTTCTGTCAAAATCTCAAAGGCCTGGGAACAAGCAGTTAGCATAATGGGTATGTCGCTAGACTCCCATGTAGTCGACTGCGGTTCAAGTCCCAGACCTGGCGGCAAAAACCTCTCCCAAAAAAAGAAAAGAAAAGGTTTTTAAATGGTTTCATTTCTGATCAAGTTGAAAATTTTAAGAACTTCATTTAAAAATATTTAACTTTATTTTTATTTATCATTGTTGCTATTTTTATTTAACCACCACACCACCTGCTAGCCCTGGCAAACGTGTTATTAAAAATAGACTTAAAAGGTTTTGGGACCAGCAGTTAGCATAATGGGTATGTCGCTAGACTCCCATGCAGTCGACTGCGGTTCAAGTCCCACACCTGGTGGCGAAAACCTCTCACCAGAGAGAGAGACAGAGAAGGAGGGAGGGAAAGCGGGAAAGCAAGCCACTAGGTCCGAGACTTGAACCGTGGTTCAAGTGGCCATTAGGGAGTGCAATGTCTTAACTACCACACAACCTGCTGGCTCCAAGAACCTCATTTTTAATTTTTTTTTTTTAGAGGTTTTTGCTATAGGGTTCCTGCGCTCACCAGAAAGACAGAGAGACAGACAGAAAGCGAGAAATCACCCCCCAGGGGGGATGGCCACACCGCAATCCCTTC